TCATGTTCTTCACATCTTTGCCAACACTTGGTATCTCCATACCTTCAGAGGTAACTATCTGGTAGATGGATGGTGATAGCCCCCTTCATCTGAGAAATAGCTGAAATTTAAAGAAATTACTTGATAAGTCTTTTTTTGAGTGTATAAAATGCAAAACCATTTGTTGATATGTCAGTGTGACACATTTTTCATAGGTGGGAGCTATTGTAGTTCAGGCAGCCAAACTGAGTGGCTGGATGTATGGCCAGAAAAGCAAGGGTAGGATCAGAGCCGGCCTAACCTCTAGTCCCTCCTGGTGCAGTCTCTGCCCCTGGCTTGGCCTGAGCCAGCCTGGGGTTTCCTAAAGGCAGCGCCTGTGCTATGGGGAGAACTGGGGAGTGGTACAGCTGAGCCAGACCCCATCCTGCCTGCAGCTTAGAGCCTGGCAATGCCGTTTGGGTGTGTAACTCTGGGCGACAAGAAGAACTATAACCAGCCATCGGAGGTGACTGACAGATATGATTTGGGACAGGTCATCAAGACGTGAGTGTTGGGCAACGGTGGGTGGGTGGGCAGGTGGGCACTAAGGGCTGGGGGAGGGGGAGCAGAGTGCAGCCCATTATAAGGCCAGGGCTGAGTGGGGTGCCTGTCGGCTATAGTGAGGAGTTCTGTGAAATCTTCCGGGCCAAGGACAAGACAACAGGCAAGCTGCACACCTGCAAGAAGTTCCAGAAGCGGGATGGCCGCAAGGTGCGGAAGGCAGCCAAGAACGAGATAGGCATCCTCAAGATGTGAGTGTGAGGCCTGGGGGCAGGGTGGGGTAGCAGGGAAGGGCTTAGAGGGCACGTAGCCTCATGCAGTACCAGCCTCTGGCCAATTAGTCTTCTGTGGCCACTGTAGTGACAAGAGCCTCTCCAAGGGGTTCACCCAGCCCTAAGTACTGGTTCTTCTCTCTAACACCAGGGTAAAGCATCCCAATATCCTGCAACTGGTCGATGTGTTTGTGACCCGCAAAGAGTACTTCATCTTCCTGGAGCTGTGAGTGTGGGTCTGGGGTCCCAGGATTCCCCAGTCCCCAGGGCCTTCACCTTTCCGACCCTCTGCATCTAAGGAAAGTCCCCTTTCTGGACCCTTAGGGTTCCAGGTCCCTGTGCCTTGCCCAGCCAGCTGCCTGGTGCAGGCAGCCTGCCCAAGTACTCTTGCCCTACCCCCGATCCTGCCCACGCCGGGCTCAGGGGCTGGTGTCCCTCAGGGCCACGGGGAGGGAGGTGTTTGACTGGATCCTGGACCAGGGCTACTACTCGGAGCGAGACACGAGCAACGTGGTGCGGCAGGTCCTGGAGGCTGTGGCCTACTTGCACTCACTCAAGATTGTGCACAGGAACCTCAAGGTGAGGCCAGGGCGAGAGTCAAAGAGTCAATTGGCAACTGGGCTGGGGCTGGAGTGGGCAGCAGCTTAGGGCCTTGGTCCAGCCTCTGAGGCACTCATGGTGTCTTCTGCTCACCCACATACTATTCCTGGCTGGAGCAGCTGGAGAACCTGGTGTACTACAACCGGCTGAAGAATTCAAAGATCGTCATCAGTGACTTCCACCTGGCTAAGCTAGAGAATGGCCTCATCAAGGAGCCCTGTGGGACCCCTGAGTATCTGGGCAAGCAGGGGGTGGGGCAGCGATGGGGTTGGGGGCAGTCTTTAGGGAGTCGCCCTGGGTAGGGGGAAGAAGTCTCCATCCCAGGAAGTGGGTGTGGATGGTACCAAACCTGGCCAGGCCTGATACTGACCAGCAGATGGACACTGTGTTTGTAGCCCCAGAAGTGGTAGGCCGGCAGCGGTATGGACGCCCTGTGGACTGCTGGGCCATTGGAGTCATCATGTACATCCTGTGAGTAGATGGGCAGATGAGCAGGCTTGCAACCTGGTGGGGTGGGGGTCTGTGTCTGTGGCCTTCCTGGGTGACCCTGCCCCCATGCAGGCTTTCAGGCAACCCACCCTTCTATGAGGAGGTGGAAGAAGACGACTATGAGAACCATGATAAGAATCTCTTCCGCAAGATCCTGGCTGGTGACTATGAGTTTGACTCTCCTTACTGGGATGATATTTCACAGGCAGGTGAGGAGGTGCCCGGCACATAGGTAGAGTGCAGGGCAGTGGGGAGAGGGGTGCTGCTCTCAGCTTCTTCTGCCTGATTTTGCCCTTGCCCCCCAGCCCATTCATCACCTCTAGACAGTGAGTTGGGATGCCCATGCCTAGTCCCTCCCTGTCTTTATCCCTAGCCAAAGACCTGGTCACAAGGCTGATGGAAGTGGAGCAAGACCAGCGGATCACAGCAGAAGAGGCCATCTCTCATGAGTGGTGAGCAGAGCCCAGGGGAGAGGCCAGGATTCCCTTGACCTGTGTGCCCCTCACACTTAGTAGCCCCCATCCTTGAGTCCTTGAGTGTCTGGAGGCAAGGCTAGAGGCTCTGCCTATTAGTCCCTGAATCTCACAGGGAAGGGTTGGGCAGACTTTCTACAAAGGCCCATACCCCTCAGATCCAGATGCACATGTACCCTTTTCAGGATTTCTGGCAATGCTGCTTCCGATAAGAATATCAAGGATGGTGTCTGTGCCCAGATTGAAAAGAACTTTGCCAGGGCCAAGTGGAAGGTAAGGCTTGATGGCTTCCCTTTCTTAGCCCGATCCCAAGTTCTTTTTCTGGCACCCAAAGTTTCTTGCCTGCACCACACCCCTGAAGTCATACACAAGCTTTTCTCAGGCCATCAGGTGATCAGGTGTGGCTGTAGCCACTATCATTACCTTAAGCAGGAGTGCTGAGCAGCTGGGTCCCTGGCCCTGGGGTGATCAGAGGCAGTCAGGGCCACTATGGATGTGGCTGTATTTGGCCATTGCAAAGGAATGGATTCAGCAAGACTTACCCTGAGCCTTTCTCCACTGTTCTTTCAGAAGGCTGTCCGAGTGACAACCCTCATGAAACGGCTCCGGGCGCCAGAGCAGTCCAGCACAGCTGCAGCCCAGTCTGCCTCAGCCACAGACGTTGCCACCCCTGGGGCTGCAGGTGGAGCCACAGCTGTAGCTGCCCCAGCCACAGAGGGTGATGCTGCTCATGCTGCAAAGAGTGATAATGTGGCCTCTGCAGACCGTAGTGCCACCCCAGCCACCGATGGCAGTGTCACCCCAGCCACCGATGGCAGTGCCACTCCAGCCACTGATGGGAGCATTACCCCAGCCACCGATGGGAGCGTCACTCCGGCCACTGACAGGAGTGCTACTCCAGCCACTGATGGGAGAGCCACACCAGCCACAGAAGAGAGCACTGTGCTCACCACCCAAAGCAGTGCCACACCAGCCGCCAATGTAGCTGTCATTCCTGAACCGGCTGTGGCACAGCCGGACAGCACAGCCCCAGAGGGCACTACAGGCCAGGTTCCACCCTCTAGTAAAGGAGAAGAGGCTGCTGGCTATGCCCAGGAGTCTCAGAGGGAGGAGATCAGCTGAGTAGGCAGCCTGGTGGGGTGGGCGGGGGACGGGCAGGAGGGTGGGAGAGTGGATGAGGGGCTTCTCACTGTACATAGAGTCACTGGCATGATGCCCTCGCTCCCCCACACACCCACATCCCAGTGGGGCATACCTGGGGGCCACGGGAGAGTAGTCTTGTCTCCTGCGTGTATGTGCGTGAATGGTGGGCAGGCCAGAGGCAGGGCCGGCCCCAGCCCCTGCATGGATTTCTTGTGGCTTTTCTGTCTTGCTAGCTTCACCAGTTTCTGTTCCTTGTGGGATGCTGCTCTAGGGATACTCAGGGGGTCCCTGCTCTCCTTCCCTTTTCCTTCTTGCTTCACCATTTCCCCGGGCAGGTCTTGCAGGTCCCATACTCTCCCAGGCCCTAAACTTGGGTGGCCTTGCCCTGAGAGCTGGTCCTCCAGCGAGGCCCTGTCAGCGGTCTTAGGCTCCTGCACTTGAAGATGTGTGCCTGTGGTGGGTGGGCTGCTCTAGGAGTGGAACACAGGCTGGTCTAGAGGATGTACAAATCTAGGGCAGTATTAAGTCAAGACTGGTCACATGGCTGGGGGCATTGCTTGCTAGCTGTGGGGGTCCTCAAGAAGAGGAAGAGAATGAATAGGAAAGTAGACATTTCCACCTTTGTCCCTGGGAAGTCCCTCCTAAGACCGTCATGTTATTTCCTGCCCTCCTGATTCCCACAGTGTGTTGCCCTGTACGTTGAAACTTATGAACCTCAAAGGGAAAGGAGGAGCAATTAGGATGTGGCAATGAGACTTGGGAGGGCAGAGTAGAGACCCAGCATCCAGTGCTCCAGCCTAGCTGGGTCCTTACCCTGGGCCAAACAGGGAGGGCTGCTATCCTTTTGCTCTTCCTATATGACCACCTCCCACAGGCTTAGTCCATAAGTTCTCTCCATTCCAGGAGGCCTGCAGCACGGCAGTACCCCATAGTCTGATTGAGGATTTGCCCTTCATAGGGGTAGATTTTGTATTCCCAGTTCAACAACAAAATGGAGAGGAACTCCCTCTATTTCTACAGCTTACTTCTATCAGAGGCCCAGGTGCCTCTGAGCCACATTGAGTTGCTTTTGCTGGGATGAGGAAGTAGGATAAGACTCCCCAGTTCCCTGAGGGAGGCTCCTGACAGGCACCCTTTGTCAGACCCCACCACAGCCTGGACAGGCAGCCATACTGGTCCTCGCCCTTGCTCAGCACTTCGTGGTGGTCCTGCCCTTCTCCCTGCATGCCTGTGGGTCTGCTCTGGTATGTGAAGGTTGGTGGGCTGTGTGCCTGCTGAACCTGGCAAATAAACGTCACCCTGCAAAGCCTCTGGCTACCCTCTTGCTTTTGCTTCCTCTGTCCTACCAGGGAGAAGCCCCTGGAAGGCAGGGGGGAGGGGAGAGGCTGGGAGCAGGTTCACAAGTAATGGCTGGTGCTCAGTGCCCTGTGGATTTCTTGGGCTGAGAATGAGGATCATCTTCACCAGTGTGTTCTTTGATGATGGGGGGGGGGTCCTCCGGACTGTAGAAATCCATTGTGGGTGGTGGGTCCTGAGCTGGGTTGGGGCCAAGGAATACCCCCTTTGGCTGAGAGTTCAAGTAAGGGCTGCTCATCCAATTCCTATTGACCAAGGAGCTTTTGTCTTGACTTGGGCATAGAGTTGGAACCCACTCAGGGCCAACCCCACAGGGAGAGATCTTGTTCATGGTCAAGATGGGCTTCCCTGGGCTGGGAAGAGGGTGTACGGGGGGCATTGCAGAAAGGTTCTGTGCTGCTGTGTGTTGATTCCTCCTTCCTACAAGCACCTGTTCTTTCCACATAGGCCCAAAGGATTTTACTCTTGAGTCTTACTTCAGCTGGAGCTGATCAGCTTTATATTATGGGGCTCTGCATAAGGTTTCTTCTGCGGAGAAGTTACACTGCTAAATGTAGTAAGCATGAAAACCCCTAAGGAGACTTACTCCAGCCCAGATGGGCCTCGGTGAACTCACCAGGTCTTCTCGGGGAGGACCTCAAAGATAATTTCTCTGGTATGAGAATAATCAAAAGGGTTTGTTAGTCCCTGGTCTCTGAAGGATCTGAGCCGCCAAAATTCCAACCCTACCTACTACAGTCCCAGGCATAAGTGATCCTCCTGGAAGCTAAAATCAGAGTACTGGCCCTATTGTCTCCAAACTCAGGGATCGTCAAATCTGACTTGGATAAAGCCAAGGTTAGCCTGGGGTGTCCTGACAGGTTGGGACCTATGTGTCCATCTTTCCAGAATCACCTAGAACCAAGGGCTGAGAGGGTGGAGCATTCTTTTGGTCTGTGGGAACTATGGGCTGCCAGCGCACGGTCACGCAGAGTCCAGGGGACCCATCGGGACCATCGTCCCGTCCCATTCCCTTGCGGCCGCGGTTTTCTTGAATGTCCCAAAGTACAGAAAGCCCAGAACCAGGTCGGGCCTGCCTCACCGCTGGTTTGGGACGACAACGCTCTGCCTGCTCCGGAAAAGGTTCCAGCGGGCGGAGTCGCTGCTCCCCGCCCGAATCAACGCGGCACTACCGGGTCGCCTGCCGAGTCATCCAGGAGACGCCCGAGAGATAACGCGCTCCGCCCCAGGATTCTCTACCGCCGCGGGGCAACTAAGGCCCGCCTGCCCGGCGGTTTGTCCAATCCCGATCAAATATTCAGGCTCCGCCCCCTCCCCCGCCCCAAGTTTGGGTTGTCATTTCCCGTTCGCTCCCGGAAGTCGTGCTTTGGAGCCAAATTTGAAGCGAGCAGAGACGCGGGGGCGCGTTCAAAGCTAGACCTGTAGCAGTTTCCTTGGCTACCTGAGCCCTTTAAGTCCAGTCATCATGCCTATCCGTGCTCTGTGCACTATCTGCTCCGACTTCTTCGACCACTCCCGTGACGTGGCCGCCATCCAGTGCGGCCACACGTTTCACCTGCAGTGGTGAGTGACTGCCGTGTCGGGGCCAGGCTCTCGCCCCGGTACCCCTTCGGGGCCGTGGGGTGTCGGATCTCCAGGCAGTCCGCCCCCGGAGCCCAGACGGGTGATGAGAACCTCATTAGACGGAACTCCACGGGAGCTTCCCGACCTGGGCAGAAGCGTGTTAGGGCAGGCTTCTGGGCAGAGGTGATGGCTGAGCCGAGCCTGGGGGATTAGGGTGAACAGATTGGTCTAGTGAAAATAGAGTAGGTACTTCCCTGGTCACCTGTGCAAAGAAATGTGACTTCAGAACTATTGTCCTGGGCTGAGGTGAGCTTTCACCACATTAAGGAGCCCCTTTATTTCTTCGAGATACAAACCTGGTATTCTTCTGGCTACCCGAGACGGTAGCCAGAATAATTGTTGTGGTTTGCTTGATGGTTTGGAATGATTCTATTCAGAGTCATCTCATTGACCAGACACCCCAATGTATTCGCCACGCGAGGAAACCCAGCTTAACATGGAAGGGCAAGGAAATGCTCCCCTATCTAGGAATCCTTCTTATCGTGTAGGACCATTCTGTTGAGTGTTGAAAGATTCCCGTAGCAGCTGTGGACAGGCTGTTTTGCAGCTCCCAGCAAAAGAGTAAGGCACAGTGACCTCTGGTAATGGTGGGTGGTAGTAGTCACAGGGGGCTTGTGGGGCAAAAGGCCTCAGGAAGCACGGAGCCAGGCAGGGTCCTGATGGCTGCTGGGCGCCCCTTTCTTGCAAAGCTTTGTTTAGACTTGTGTTACTAACAGCCTGAGCCTCATGCTGAGGGAGCCACTGCTGTTCTGTTAGACTAGAAGTCAAGCTCACTTTTAAGAATACTTTACTGTTTGCATGCTCTGTTTTCTTCTATCCTTTTACTTGAAACTTTTCTGTGTACTTATGTGCGTGTCTCTCGAAAACAGCATTTAGTTGGGCTTTTTAAAAAATCCAGTCTGATAATCTTTGTTTTTAACTGGACCATTTAGTCTACTTAAAATTGTTGCAATTACTTACAAAATGAAGATTAAATCTGTCATATTTACTGTTTCCTATTTTGTTCTGCCTATTATTTCTTATTCTCTCCTTTCTTGCCTTGGTTAGAATTGGTTAAATATCCTGTCTCTCTTCCTTTTTCTCGCAATTACTTTGGAAGTTATGCACCCCATTTCCATTCTTTTAGTGGTTATCCTAGAAGTTAAAATAAGTATCCTTAACTTACCAAATTCAAAGTTAATCAATATTGTTCTCATTTTCCCAGGCAACTCAAAGAGCTTAGAACACTAACACCCTCTCCCCACTTCTGCATTATTGTTATTTGATATTTTAATTCTATGTATTGGTGGGTGGGGGTCTAGCCTGTGTGGGGATCCGAACCTATGACCTTGGTGTTATAACACCATGTTCCAAACAACTGAGCTCACCAGCCAGCCTGATTATATGTATTTTCAAATAAACTTTTTGTTTAGAATAACTTTTTGGTTCACAGACAAGTTATAAAGATCGTACACAGAATTACATACCCTATACACAGCTTCCCCGATGTTAACATCTTATATAATCATGGTTCATTTGTCAAAATTTAGAAATTAACATTGGTACAATACTATTAACCAAAATATAAGTTTATTTGGATTTCAACAGTTTTTCCATTAATGTTCATCTTTCTTTTCCAGGATCCAATCCAGTTTACTACACTGCACTTAGTCGTCATGTCTCCTTACTCTTCTCTGGTCTGTGATAGTCTCTGTCTTTTCTTGTTTTTTTCCTATGGCCTTGACTCTTTTGAAGAATACCGGTCAGGTATTTTGTAGAATGTCTCTCAGTTTGGGTTTGTCTGATGTTTTCTCATGATTAGCCTGGGGTTATAGGTTTTGGGGAACACAACCATGGAGGTAAGGTGCCATTTTCATCACATCTTACTGGGGGGTATATAATATCATCAGCGTGACTTCTCTTTGGTGATATTAACCTTGATCACTTGGTTAAGGTGGTGTCTGCCAGATTTCTCTACTGGAAAGTTATTTTTTTTCTTCCAATATTCTATTTTTTCAAAGTGAGTCACTAGGTTCAGTTCACACACAAGTGGAAAGGAATTAAGCTCCACATCCTGGAAGGGGTAATGTCTATACGTTATTTGGAATTCTTCTGTAAGAAAGATTTGTCCCTTCTCCATCTTCCAATATTCTATTTTTTCAAAGTGAGTCACTAGGTTCAGTTCACACACAAGTGGAAAGGAATTAAGCTCCACATCCTCGAAGGGGTAATGTCTATACGTTATTTGGAATTCTTCTGTAAGAAAGATTTGTCCCTTCTCCATTTATTTATTTATCCCATCATTTATTTATATCAGTGTGGAGTCATAATGTTTATTTTATTCATTAGGTTATGATCCAATATTATTATTTATTTTACTGCTCAAAATGGTTGTTGTGGTAAAATACATATAACATGAAATTTTAACCATTTTAACCATTTTTAAGTATAGAGTTTAGTGGCATTAAGTACATTTACAATTCTGTGTAATCATTAGCACTATTTCCAGAACTTTTCCATCATCCTAAACAGAAACACTATGCTCATTAAACAATAACTCTCCATTCCCCTCTTCCCTCAGCCCCTGGGAACCTCTACTCTACTTTCTTTTTATGAATTTTCCTATTCTAGGTACCTCATATAAGTGGAATCATACAATATTTATCCCTTTGAATATGGTTTATTTCACTTAGCATAATGTTTTCAAGGTTCATCCATGTTGTAGCATGTGTCAGAATTTCATTCCTTTTTATGGCTAGTATTTAATTGTATGTATGGAAATACCACATTTTATTTATTCATTCATCTGTCAATAGACCTTGGGTTGTTACCACATTTTGGCTACTATAAATAATGCTACTATGAACATTGGTGTACAAGCATCTGAGTCCCTGTTTGCAATTCTTTTTTTTTTTTTCCTTTTTGTCTTTTTTACTGACCAGTAACGGGATCGCAACCCTCGGTGTCCCGCCCGCACCGGGGACTGGCAACGGGATCGCAGCCCTCGGCGTTGCGCCTGCACCGCGCTCAGCCAGTGAGTGGGAACCAGTCTCCACATGGGATCCGAACCCTCGGCGGGAGCGCAGCCACACCCCCAAGCAGTGCACCCCCCAGTGTGCCACCAGGCCGGCCCTTTTTAAACTTTTTTTTTTTTTTTCCCTTTTTTTGTCTTTTTTCGTGACCGGCAACGGATCGCAACCCTCAGTGTCGCGCGCGTACCGGACCGGGACCGGCAACAGGATCGCAACCCTCGGTGTTGCTCCCACACCTCTTTTTTTTTTTTCCCTTTTTTTGTCTTTTTTCGTGACCGGCAACGGATCGCAACCCTCAGTGTCGCGCCCGTACCGGACCGGGACCGGCAACGGGATCGCAACCCTCGGTGTTGCGCCCGCACCTCGCTCAGCCAGTGAGCCGCTGGTCTGTATTTGGGATCCGAACCCTCGGCGGGAGCGTCGCTGCACTCCCAAGCGGCGCACTGTAGCAGTGCGCCACCGGGCCGGCCCATTGCAATTCTTTTGGATATATACCTAGGAGTGGAATTGCTGGAACATATGGTATGCTGGAACATGTAGTATACTTTTCGAGAAACTGCCATAGTGTTTTCCACTGTGGCTGCACCATTTTAAATTCCCACCAGAAATACACAAGGGATCCAATTTCTCCATATCCTTGACAAAACTTTTCCCCTTTTCCACTCAGTTTGGGTTTGATAATAGCCATCCAAGTGGGTATGATGTGGTATCTCACTGTGTTTTTTTTTAATTGTGGTAAAATATGCACATCATAAAGGTTACCATTTTAATAATTTTTAAGTGTACAATTCAGTGGCATTAAGTACATTCACACTGTGCAACCATAACCACTATTTTTCAAAACTTTTTCATCTTCCCAAACTGAAACTCTGTACCAATTAAACACTAACATCCAATTTTCCCCATGCCCCAAATCCCTGGCAACCACAGTTCTACTTTGTCTTTATGAATTTCACTACTCCAGGTACCTCATGTGAGTGGAATCATCCAGAATTTGTCGTTTTGTGACTGGTTTATTTCATTTTGCATAATGTCTTAAAGATTCATCTGTGTTGATTATAGCATGTGTCAGAATTTCATTTCTTTTTAAGGTTAAATAATAACATTCTATTGTTTGTACATACACATTTTGTTTATCCATTCATTCATTGATGTATATTTGGATTGTTTCTACCTTTTGGCTATTGTGAATAATGCTGCTATAAACATTGGTGTACAAATATCTGTTTGAGTCCCTGCTTTTAATTCTTTGGGGTATATATCCAGAAGTGGAATTGCTGGATCATACAGTAATATTCTACTTTTAACTTTTTTAGGAACTGCCATACTGTTTTCCTCTGTGGCTGCACCACCAGCAGTGTATGAGGATTCCAGTTTCTCCACATCCTCATCAACACTTATTTTCTATTTTTTTGATAATAGCCATCCTAATGGGTGTCTTCTTTTTTAATGTATGCAATTATGACTATCAGTTTCCCCCTTGGTACTGCTTTTGCTATATCTCTTAAGTTCTGGTATATTGTTTGTTTGTTTTCATTAGTCTTGAGATATTTTCTAAGTTTTCTTATGATTTCTTCTTTGACCCATTGGTTGTTTAATTTCTACATATTTGTGAATTTTCTAGTTTTCCTTCTGTTATTGATTTTTAGTTTCATTCCATTGTGGTCAGATCTTACAATGATTTCTTATGATTTCAATGATTTCACAATGATTTTACAGTGATTTTGTATGATTTCAGTCTTGTTAAATTTATTAAGAATTTATTTTGTGGCCTAACCTGTGGTCCATCCTGGAGAATTTTCCATGTATTCTGCTGTTGTTGGGTGGAGTGTTCTGTATACGTCTGTTAAGTTTAGTTGGTTCATATGTTATTCAAGTCCTCTATATCTTTATTTTATTTTATTTTTTTCTTTTTTTGTGACCGGTAAGGGGATCACAACCCTTGGCTTGGTGTCGTCTGCACTGTGCTCAGCCAGTGAGCGCACCAGCCATCCCTATATAGGATCCGAACCAGCAGCAGGAGCGCTGCTGCACTCCCAGCGCCTCACTCTCCCGAGTGAGCCACAGTGCTGGCCCTAGTCCTCTATATCTTTATTGATCATCTGTCTGTTCCATCCCATTATTGAAAGTATGGGGTATTGACATCTCCATCTCATATTGTAGAACTATTTCTCCTTTCAATTCTGTTGGATTTTCCTTCATATACTTTTGGGTTCTATTGTTAGATGTGTATATGTTTAAAACTGTTTTTTCATGGGGCCGGCCTGGTGGCGCACTGCTACAGTGCGCCGCTTGGGAGCACGGCGGCGCTCCCGCCGAGGGTTCGGATCCCACATACAGACCGGTTCCCACTCACTGGCTGAGCGAGGTGCGGGCGCAACACGGAGGGTTGTGATCCCGTTGCTGGTCCCAGTCTGGTACGGGCGCGACACTGAGGGTTGCGATCCGTTGCCAGACACGAAAAAAGACAAAAAAAAGGAAAAAAAAAACTGTTTTTTCTTTTTGCCAGCTTGAGCTTTTTGTCAATATATAATGTCTTTCTTTGTTTCTTGTAATCTTTTTTGACTTAAAGTCTGTGTTGTCTAATTTAAAGTCTATTTTATCTGCTCACTTCACCTCTCTTTTGGTTACTGTTTGCATGGCATATCTTTTTCCACCTGACTTCTAGCTTCTGTTATAACTACTGAAGTCAGATTTTAGTTTGTCGGCTACTCCTTTATTATTTATTTATTTATTTATTTTTATTTATTTACTTATTTATTTATTTATTTTTCCTTTTTGTCTTTTTTTCTTTTTACTGACCGGTAACGGGATCGCAACCCTCAGTGTCGCGCCTGCACCGGGGACTGGCAACGGGATCGCAACCCTCGGTGTTGCACCCGCACCATGCTCAGCCAGTGAGCGGGAACCAGTCTCCACATGGGATCCGAACCCTCGGCGGGAGCGCTGGCGCGTTCCCAAGCGGTGCACTCTTCAGTGCGCCACCGGGCCGGCCCTTTATTTATTTTTTTAAAAAGATGACCAGTAAGGGGATCTTAACCCTTGACTTGTTGTTGTCAGCACCACACTCTCCCAAGTGAGCCACGGGCCAGCCTGTTGGTTACTCCTTTAAACATACTTTGGAACACTACCCTCCCATTCTTGTTGCCTTTAGAGTTTTCTCTGACTTTGGTTTTCCACAGTTTCACTAATAATGTATCCAGTATGGTTTTATTTTTACTTATCTTGCTTGGGATTCATTAAGTTTCTTTAACTTGTGGAAATTTTTCTTTAATCAGTTCTGGAAAATTATCAGCCATTATCTCTTTATGTATTTCTTCTATTCTATTGTCTTTTTTCCTTGTGTATTAGTTTCCCATTTCTGCTATAACAAGTTACCACTGACTTAGTGGCTTAAAATAGCACAAATTTATTATTTTACAGTTCTGGAGGTCAGAAGGCCAAAGTAGGTCATACTGGGTTAAAATCAAGGTGTTGGTAGGGCTGTGCCTTCTTTGGCTCATGGCCCCTTTCTCCATCTTCTAAGCCAATTGTGTTACATCTTCAAATCTTTCTACATGACTCTGACACTCCTGCCTCACTCTTATAAGGGCTGTTATGATAATCACTCCATCTCAAGATCCTTAACTTAATTACATCTGCAAAATTCCTCTTGCCATATAAGATAACATATTCACAGCTTTTAGGGATGAGGACATGAACTTTTTTGGTGGTGGTGGTAGCAGCATTATTCTACCTATGATTTTCTATCTGGAACTCCCAATTGTATGTATGCTAGACCTTCTCAGAGTATTTTCTGTCTCTTACCATCTTTCTATATTTTCCCATCTTTTTCATTCTCAATGTTTCCTCTGAACTATTTTTCAGTTTACTGATTCTTCAACTTTGTTTAAACTATTATTAAACTCATCCATTGACTTCTTTTGTTTTTTTTTTTTTTTTTTTGTCCTTTTTGAGACCGGTCGCACCGTGCTCAGCCAGTGAGCGCTGTGAGCGCACCGGTCATCCCTATATAGGATCCGAACCTGTGGCGGGGGCGCCGCTGCGCTCCCAGCGCCGCACTCTCCCGAGTGCGCCATGGGCTCGGCCCATTGACTTCTTAATTTTGGCCAGTTTTCAGTTTTAGAATTTCTGTTTGGTTCTTTTTATTTTATTTTATTTTTTTGGCAGCTGGCAGTATGGGGATCCAGACCCTTAAACTGGCGTTAATAACACCATGCTCTAACCAACTGAGCTAACTGGCCAGCCCTGTTTGGTTCTTTTCAAATTCTGCTGTGTCACCTTTTTAATTTCTAATTCTCTGTTATTTTCAAGCTTGATTTTTATTTTTTTATCATAATATGTTTGGTATCTGTGTGACAATTCCAATCTCTGAAGTCTTTGTGGGCATGTTCTTCTTGTTTATGCTTATTATAGTGCTTTTTTCCTGGTGTGCCTGTTTACTTTTTAAGAGTTTTTAAATTGAAGTATAATATTATTATGGAAAAGTACACATATAAGTATGTGACTCGCAGGATTTTCGCAACTGAAGACACCCATGCAGCCAGAATTCAGATCAAGAAACAGGATATTATCGGTTCTAGAAACTTCATATGCTTTTCCAATTACTCCTACCAATCCCTCTCCCCCAATGTGAAGATAACTACTATCTTGACTTCCAGAGCATAGATAAATTTTGCCTACTTTTTTACTTTACATAAACGGAATTATATAGAATATATCTTTTCTGTGTCTGGCTTTTCTTCATGTTATGTTTTTGTGATTCATCCATAATATTGTTCTTAGTTCTAGACTCATTTATTCTCCTTGCTTTGTGGTATTCCATTGTGCCTGGTTAGCTTTGATTATACGTTGTATATGGTATTTGAAAAATTATTTATAAGAGTATTTGAGGCCTAGGATGATGGTATCATCTTCCAGAGAGGACTCTTTTCTCCCTGGTCCCTGGGGGTAGGGGAATCTGCTGGTAGGTGACTACCTTAATTAAGATTTAAGGCTTGAGCTTTGCTGCACCACCCACACAGATGATGCAAAGCTGTGTTATGTTTTGCTTTTACTGCTACTTACTTTTACATCTAGTTGACCCTTTGAAAGTGTAGCCTTTGGGGTCTCAGCTTAAAGTGGGGGTGTTATCAGAGGCCCTATTTCTGAGGGTCCCTGGGCTTTGACTCCCCCCCCCCCCTCCAGTCAAGGCCCAGAGGGTTGCCAGAAGAACAGCTTCTGGCTGAGCCAACAAGGCCAAAAAAGGGGCCAGTTGGTCTGAGTGCTGAGTAGCAGTCAGGGCCTTGTGTGAAGTGCTATAACTGCCTCTGGTGTTGTCCTTCTATACAGGTAGGCATTGGGTTGAGCAGGATCAGGACAGACTCTGTTATGGTCAGGGTGGCTGCCTGGCCTGTGTCCTCAGCCAAGCCAGGTTTCACCAGTCTATCCTGCTTTTCATTCCAGCCTAATTCAGTGGTTTGAGACAGCACCAAGTCGGACTTGCCCACAGTGCCGAATCCAGGTGAGAGTGTTGGGGTGGGATCACCTTAGCTAAAGACATCTTCTCCTGACCAGGGAGCAGGAATGTGGAAAGATCTCTGAAACTGAGCAATATCTCTGACCTTTTCGGACTGTCCTGGTTTGAGCCAGTTGACCCTCACCTGTGTCCTTGAGTTGCTCGGGAGGCCTTCTTATACCCATGGATAGCTGGCAGATGGACTTGTTGCTTGAGTCAGTCTTCACCTGGGTAGATTTGGCTTTCTACCCTACTTTTTCCCCAATGCCCCAACTCCTAGAGTTGGGCTGTCTTTCGAGCACTCACCTCTTGGGTCTGCAATGACATGACTTTAGCAACCACCAGACCTGCAGCCCTAGCCTGGGGTATCTGCATGGATGAAGAGGTCTTTTGACTCCAAAGGATGTATTTGAAAGGCTAGGCCTGAGAACAGGCCTGGCATGCATTTTAGTCAGGTAGTCAGACCCATATACAACACCATCCTCCTTGCCCACGACCCAGCTACTTAGTCATCCTCTGTCTTGTTCTCCCATCCAGGTTGGCAAAAGAACCATTATCAATAAGCTCTTCTTTGACCTCGCCCAGGAAGAGGAGAGTGTCTTGGATGCAGAATTCTTAAAGGTACCTAGAATTTATCTCATTCCACTGAACCCCAAGCCCTCTGGGAGTTCACTTTTCACTCCCACACAGGAGGGTGCCTAGAGTACAGAGACAAGGTTTTAGAGGAGGGACTTGGTAGAGATTTTAAAGCAGGGCCAAGGAGAGCAGAGGACAACTGATGAGGAGCCACAGTCATTGGAGAAATACACTGTAAGGAAAGAAGGGGGCTGCCTGACTGTGAGCTGTCCCCTTGGGATTTCATGCAATTCCAACCAGAGGTCAGAGCGCTTCTCCCAAGGGTCCCCTCACCTTATGAAGGCCCTACAGTCATCCTGCCCAACCCTCTTTGCTGCTGGGACAGTTATTGACAGATTAGAAAACTCTTCCACTCCCCAGCCAGGGAAGATGTATGGACCCACTGTTCCCTAATCTGGCTGTGCCTCAAAATTGCCTGGGGGGGGGGGGTCAGATGCCTGAGCCTTCTCCAGACCAGAAACAGAGGGCAGAGACTCTGGAATCAAGATTTGCAGCCCGGGTAGAAATCCACACTGCAAGGGTGGGTGGGTAGGTTCCCTCCTATATGTCTACTGCTTCCCTACAAATCTAAAATCTATCTTTCTTTGTGTGTGAGGGGACTGGACTGAGGTTCACAAGTGATCCCTGGACTCTGTGGGTTAATTTGCCGGACATTTATCAGATCAGAGTTCATTTGGCTCTGGCCACAGGGCGTCATGATGTCCTTGGAACCTCACTGCTTCAGGAATGTGGAGCTTTTGTGCTTCAAGCCAGTATGTTCATCGTCATGGTAACTGCTCCCAGTTTTAAGTGATGTCCTCCTCCCTGTGATGAAGCCAATAAAGACAGCTTCATTTCTTTCTGGCTTCCAAAGCCAGGCCTGTGAGACAGGGATGCAACATCTCGAGTAGTTTGGAGCAAGGGTTTGGAAGACATCCTGCTGGGATGTGGAGGGAGCCAGGGGTCTGTGGGTAGTGGAACAATAGCATTGGGCTGGTATCTGTTCTCTGGCAGCCCCTGTGTGTACTTCCCTACCCAGCCTACACTGACCAACTCAGCTACCAAAATATCCTGCCCCCAGAGTCCTGGATGGAGAGTCTGACAGCAGGGGTGCTTATCTACCCACTAAACCTGGGCCTTAGTATTGATCACATGTGAAATTCTGAGTCTTGTGTTGACCTTAGAAGGGTGATCTACAGGAAGGTTTGCCTGGACTCTATCCAGGTACCACCATGGACCCTTGGCCTAGAATTTTGATTCTATAAACCCTTGCTTTTTCTGGTTATGGAATAGGCATCTCTCTTGCTGATACAGGTGTTAAGTTGTCTGGACTCCTGAATGGGAGCTGGATTCTGTTCTGCCCCAGTGGTTCTATGGCAGTGGCTCTGAAACATAGCAAGGTCTTTGAGAGGCTCACTTGACCCTCACACAGTCTGGTTAGAGCTTAGATGTGAGGTTTCATCCAGAGGTGCATGGCTGTCCTGGCTTACTTACCTCTATTGGATTTTGGCACTGAGAGGTTTGTGGTACACAGAGACAGCTTAGAGCTTGGAGAGAGGTAGACTGTGAAGCGGGTAGGACCCAGGGTGGAGAGAATGAGTGGTGACCCAAGGTCCTTGGCCATTCTTATTCTTTGTCCCTGGTGAGTCCAGCTGATGCTCAGAGAGGATGAGGCCAGCACAGGACCAAGGCAGCAATGGAAGGTCTCTGTTGTTGAGACTCATCACATGGGCTGCTGTTTAGACTGATCACATGGGCCCAACTTCACTTCCCCTGACCCTATTCTATCTCTTTCACTATCCTGGGGCCTTCCTCCTGTGAGATTATTTTCGTCTGTCTTACCTAGTTTTTAATAAGCCAAATAAAAATAAAGAAGTGCTTGTCTCTCCATTGTTGGCTTAGCTTGGCCTTGAGGTACAGCAGGTTCCATGCCTCCCTAGATCTACAGGCCTCATCGTCCTATCCTGGGGCTTCTCACATCCTTATGGGAGGCCATTTGGAAACCGACTATGATGTTTTCTTGCTCTTATTGTGGGTATTGCCTTGCAGAATGAACTGGACAACATCAGAGCCCAACTTTCCCAGAAAGGTGAGTTAGTAAGAGACAAGGGGACCTGGGAAGCCCCTGACTTGGATGCTGGAGGGAGGCACCCTTGGAGGAAGGCCTCCAACCTTCTGGTAGAGCCAGGGACTCTCCCTGCTTTGTATGTCCAAGAGTCTTGGGAATGGCAGAAAAGGAGAGGAGAGATAGTTGACTAAAGCTGTCCATCTAGACCAGCTGAGCCGCTTCTCTCTGTCTGGGGCTTCTTGCCCAGGACCCAGGCTGGGTGGGGGCTACCTGATGGGGCAGAGTATCTACAGGAGAGGGATCAGCTGCTGAGTTTGGCAGGAACCTGCATGAGTTTTGGGATGATGAACTAACTAGACTCATGGGAAGGGGGGACAGTGAAATGTTTTCCCAAGTAGTTCAAGCAGCAAAAATAGGGCTTGTCTCCTGAATGAAGGCTCTGGCTTGACTTCCCTGGTTTGGGGCATGCCAGAGAGAGAAGTGGGTTACCCAGCTTTCTGGCCTGAGCTTTGTTCCTCATCTGGCTCAAGGACGAGATGGTGGAGCCCAAAGGTCCAGGTTCTCATGCTGATGAGTGGATGGGTCTCTCCCTCCTCCCAACCTCTTCCCCTATTCCAGAGAGGGAGAAACAGGACAGCCAGGTCATCATTGATACTCTGCGGGACACACTGGAAGAGCGCAACACCACTGTGGAATCTCTGCAAAAGGCCTTAGGCAAGGCTGAGATGCTGTGCTCCACACTCAAAGTAAGTCCCCATGTCCTGCAGACACATAGTTGGTCAGGAGATAAAGCCCCCGTCCTGGGCTCACCGTTGGGCTCATCTTCTGGTTCTGCCTCAGTCAATAACTTGGTTTGCGCAGTTATAAAATGGAGGCAAATCACTTCTTCCCCAGGCCCTTCCATACTGTACCCATCCAGCCTGAGAGAAAGGGGCCATATTGGCTGTGCTTGTGGATTTTGCACTAGGTAGTGTGGAGAGGTGAGGCCTTCTTAGCACCTTGCAGAGGGTGCTCAACTAAGAACTCAGTGAGGCTGGGCCATGTTTCCAAAAGTGGTTCATATTCCACTGATGAGGCCAGCCTAAAGAACCTTCCATTAGCACTCCAGTCCTTGGCAGGGCTGCTCTCTGGAGCCAGATCAAATAGCAATCCCAGGGAGGAGCAAGGTCCTTTGAAGTTGGCTGTGCTGAGCTGACTGGGCAGATCAAAGCCTGCAGAGCAAGCAGCCCTAGACCCAGATGAATTTTGTATCAGCCTGTGTTGGTGAGCCTCTTGCTCTCTAAGGGGCATGGTGCGATTGATCTGAACCCATGATTGATATTCTGGCCTTGTAGGCGGGAGCAATCCTTGCTGGATGCCATTTGAAAGGGAAAGGGAGCCATCCTTTTGGACAGACAAGGCCCCAGGATATTCATTGTCTCTGTTCCTGCTTGGGGGCTGGGCTGGATCACATGGCCTGGTGGGAGGGAGCAAACTAGCACTTGGCTGCAGAGCAGGAGTCTGATAGCATTCCCAGGTCAGAGATGGAGTGGTCTTGTGCTGAGGGCAGGCTGGCCAGCTGCCCCTGGCTCAGCTCTCCTTTCCTGTCAACTGTAAATGAGTCTGGATGGTAGATGATGAGGCCTGGGTTTGTGCTCTGGACTCCTTCAGCTACTTGCACAAGATGTACCATGAGGCCCACACCACTGGACCTTCACAACTCACAATGGGCCTATAGATGCTGGCACTGGGCCGTGCTGTGGGTAAGACATATCTCAGGAGGAAGCAGGCAGGGAGATGAGGAAGCCGATTACTGAGGGCCTTTTAGCAGATAAATCACAAGCCAGAATGGGGCCCAGGACCCTTACCTCCTAGGGTTGGAGACACATGGTTATCAGCATTTTCAAAAGATATGGTGAAAATAGTTCTAGAGCAGAGCTCTCCCATTTACTTTAGCCATGGCTTCAGGGAGCCTCCAAACAATAGGCATGGGTATGTTTGCTCTTCAGAAGCAGATGAAGTACTTGGAGCAGCAGCAGGATGAGACTAAACAAGCACGGGAGGAGATTCGCCAACTCAGAAGAAAGATGAAAGCCATGGAGCAGTGAGTTTGGAGCTGGGGCCTACACAGTGCTTTGTACCTGGGACCCACAGGTGGTACAGATCTCAGGACTTCGGTAGGGAGTGGGGTGAGATTACCTCTGTGGCTCAAATCTCTATTGGCCAAAGAGGGTTACATGAGCTGGGTATGGGCACAAGTCTCCTTTCTTAGCCTCTGTGGATTCCTCCACTTTCCATGGGGTTCCTTGCCATACTCCTCTCTGTCCTTGTTACCTTGAGGCCCTCTGTCAGCACCTCTTCTTCCTCAGCAGCATTCCTGGAGCTGTGCTCAGCTCTACCGTGGGGCCTTTCCTCGGGCACACTCACCTGCTAAAGCATCCTAGCAGTCCAGGCTGTTACCATAGCAATAGCATTAAAGGGAGGCAGAGCTGCACTAGGTACCTACCCATCAGCCTCCAGATTTCAAATGCTGTGGGCCTGGTGTGTTTTTCAGGATTGAGCTTCTACTCCAGAGTCAACGACCTGAGGTGGAGGAGATGATCCGAGACATGGGTGTGGGACAGTCAGCGGTGGAGCAGCTGGCTGTTTACTGCGTGTCCCTCAAGAAGTACGTGCTCTGGCCTCTCTCAACAAGCCCAGGAGCTAGGCCATAGGGCCCCAACCATGCCATTGCTGCCCATCTCTTGTAAAGCAGATGGAATTAAGGGGCAAGCTCTGGAGCCATGCTGCCTTAGTTTGAACCCTGATTCCACCATGTAAGTCATCTCCCTGGTGAGAACCAGCTATGTGGCCTGGAGCTAGTTTCTTGGCCTCTTTGGCCTTCAGCTTCCTGAATGGAGAGAGTAATACACCTGCCTCATAGGGCTATTGAGAGAATTGAGTGTGAATTATAAGTGTCATTTCTAAAGGAGCTGACGCAGCTCTCTGAGTTGTAAGCCCCATAATGATATCTGGAGCCTGTTTCTCATCAGCTCTGTTACTGACCCTGCCTGGCTTGGATCACAAACTTTGTTTATATCCTTCACTATGGTGGGTATGAAGTTGGTGGGAAGGGGACCACTTGGCTGACATGCATGGAGGGTCCAAGATCCCTGCTGTAGGGACCAGGTGGTATAGGGGGCCCCCTAGTGATGCCAAGGCATCATGCACATCCTGTCAAGTCACCAGTGCTTGCAAGACAGGCAGGGAACAGAGAGTCACTAGGCCTCCTTGCATTCTGTGTAGGACCCTCCACCGCGCCACCTGGCCCCTCTTGGGCTCAGATGTCAGAGTAGAAATGAGGATGAGCTGAGGGGTTGGGTGGGGCTTTGTGTTAGGTTGTACTGTGGCTCAGTCTGACCAGCAGGGTGTCCTCTTCTGGCCTTTCTTTCCATGGCCACTTTGCAGAGAGTACGAGAAACTAAAAGAGGCACGGAAGGCCTCAGGGGAGCTGGCTGACAAGCTGAGGAAGGACTTGTTTTCCTCCAGAAGCAAGGTAACTTAGGGAGCAGAGGGTAAAGGGAGAGGTGGCTCTCCTTTTGTCATGCACACTCAGGTCTCCTGAACAAGGCCATGGAGCCTGATGGCATAGCTGACTCTGTGGGGCTATTGGATGACTTACAGAGACTGGTTACTGGTCCTTACTGGGCATTGACTCTGACTGTGTGGCGTGTCCACTTGGGGTGGTAGATCATAGAGGTATCCCCCCAACATGTGCACACTCATGCTCCCCTCTGTTCTTCCTGACTCCTGGGCACCTCTTATCTGGCTGGAGAGCTCGGGCCCCAACTGTGACAACTTCAGGGTGCCTGTTTTTATACCAAGCCCAGAGGAGGAGGGTTCCTGGAACCTGGTTTGGTCAGCACAGGTGCTTTTACTTCTTGCGTGGTGCATCCATGGGCTGCAGAATGTAGGAAACAACCTTTGCTCCTGGGCAGCTCCAGACATGCATTGTCAGACTGAAGCTTAGCCCTAGAGAAGTGGGGTCTCCTCCCATACTTCCAGTCTCTTCCCCCTAACCATGCACTCGGTAGCAGCATGTGGACAGGGCACGTGGCCACCACTTGGCTTGTCCTTTACATACTACGTTTTCTTGTAGTTGCAGACAGTCTACTCCGAATTGGATCAGGTCAAGGTAGAGCTGAGGTCAGCCCAGAAGGACTTACAGAGTGCTGACAAGGAAATCATGGTGAGGGCCATCCTTGGCCTGATGGGAATGAGGGGTGGTTTATGTGCCCTCCAGAGCAGGGCTAGTCTGTCTCTTCCTGGGAACCTGTGCACCAGTCAGTGGTGGTATTTCTGGGCTCCTTGCATCCTACTGGGTTGGCGGGCGGGCGGGGGGGGTGGTCAGCATGGGCATCTTAACCCTGGTCTGGTCTGGCGCCTGGACCTCCTTGGCAGAGGGAAAACAGCATCATGGATCTTCCCTTACAGTCTGTCCTGTACTTAGGTCTGTGAAGTCCTTAGTCTCCAGAGGAGGGGCTCTACCGGAGAGGTTCTGAAGCCTGGTGGTCTTGGCCTCCTGAACCTGATGTTGGGTTTTCAGGCCTTGCTCTGTTCCCAGTGGGCCTGCCCTTTATGCATACTGCTCATGTCCTCTGCATTATCTCTGGACTCGATGCCTCAGCCTTTGTCTTAACACTCTTCTCTTTCCTTCCCCAAGAGTCTAAAAAAGAAGCTGTCAATGCTGCAGGAAACCTTGAACCTGCCACCCGTAGCCAGCGAGACTGTCAACCGCCTGGTTTTAGAGAGGTTTGTTAACTCTCTGGGGTGGTGTAAAGGCCACAAGCTGGGAGAGCTCCCTGGTAAGGGTCTTCACCCCTCCTGGGTTTGGGGGGTGCGGTGAGGTGACTATGTGGACCTGAAGTCTGTGGACTTTTAGCTCTGGGAGCCAGCCAAGATTTCGCTAAAATCAACTTTGAGGCAAATTCTGGGCTCTGAAAGTAGAGGTCAAGGAAGGCCAGAGAATACCTAAGGGTGGTCTGAAAGTGGGGCAAGAACAGACTGTCTTGGGGCATCCCGTTTAGAGTGGCTTTCTACATGCATGTGTCTGCCCCCAATTCTGAAACAAAACATTAAACCAGTTACTCTAGGAATGTGTGCTGTGAAACTGCCAGCAGGGGGAGCCAAGAGACGGAGGGATTGTGTCCCCTGCCAGGAGGTGGCATCCATTCCTCCTCCTAGGTGTTTCACAGAAATAGACTGGCTGAGAGCATCCTTAGAGCTATCTCCTGCCTGTCTGCTGAGGACCCAGACAGAAATCACAGAACTCTTGTCAGTGACCCAGGCTTTTATTTGAGCCAGTTTTCAATGTCCTTTGGAAAATCAACATGCTCCCTCTTCCTCATGTGCAATCAGTTGCTAGAGCTGCCCATCTAACTAACCTCCATGGTGCCTCCTGACCCCTTTCCCTTGCACCACCTTCACTCGAGGCTTGTGATTCATCCCCCTGCTCCTTCTGTCTGCCTGCGATATCAGCCCCAGAAAGGTTTCCCTAAAATAGCTCTGGGCATTTTGCCCCCCCCCCCACACACAAAAGCACCTTCCAGACCCGGTGGCACCGTGCCTAGGGGCACTCATGGAGCCAGCCTTGTGGGCTGTAGTGGATTTTTAGGCTTCAGCCATATCACGTGCTTGTTTCCTTCTTGTCTCTGTACCTTTGCTTCAGCTCTTCTCTACACTGAAGGGTCAGCTGCCTTGCAGAGCCTTCCATGGTTTCCTCAGCAGGAATAAACTCAACCTCCTCTGCAGGGGTAACACTTCTTATTCAGATGCTATGCCAGGTGCCATGAGCCACAGAGGTGCTCTAGAGTTTTGCTGTAGGTGGTCAGCCCAATAGGTGCATACATAGCTTTGAGCAGATCAGAAGCCACATCTTTTTTGTTGTTGTTGTCGTTTGTTCTTCTGATTTTTATTCTCTTTTTTTATTGATTTAATATTTTTAAAATTTTATTAACATTTTTTTACATTCTAGGATGTTGTAGAGCAGTTGGGAGGGAGAGGGAGAGGGGAAAGGGGAAGGAAATGGGATGGAAGAAGGAGGAAGGAGGAGGGGTGGGATTGAGTCCTGTGGTACCCCCCCACATTCCCACAGGGGAGACTGGTGGGCTTCCAGCAGTGGCTTGGTTATTGCTGGGCTGGGCGTACATGTCAAGGGGGTGTAGCAGTAGCCCTTGCCCCCCACCACCCCAGCTCAGGAACCTGGAGCCCTTCTTGCTGAGGCTTGCTGGTCGTCACTGGCCTGGTTGAACATAGGGGGGGAGCGTTGTCGAGATGAGGAGCCACATCTTAATCTGTGTCCCTCATCACCAACTTTCTTACACACACGCACTGTCCATTCCCTACACCATAGTACCTGGTCTGCATATGCATGGGACAGTGAATGTGTACAAGCCATTTCATCTTATTCTTCTTGTATCTTTGATTCCTCAGTCTTACTCTCTCTCTTCCTACCTTGCATCATCCAGAGTCTTTCTACAGAGCCAGAGCTGCCTGTCTACCTGCCCTAGTTTGAGTTGAACTGAAAAAGGGCTGTGGGAGTGTGATGGGCACATGACCTGCTGTGAGGTCCAGCATGTCGCTGATTTTGACAAAGTAGGCTCTGTTTCTGTCCTTCCTCCCCACCCCACCCTCAGCCATTGGCTATGCCACCTCAGAATCCCAAGGTAACAGGAGGGCTCTGTCAGGAGCTTAGCAGGTACAGTACTCATTCTCAGGGAGCTGATAGTCTATTGATATGGACAGACCTTTGGAACTCAAGCTGCCTCAAGTCAGGGAGTACAAAACATTTTTCTAGGAGATCTGCATGTTCCTGATGGTGCTCCCTCCGCTTTCTATCCCTTGAGCCTCAGGATGTTTCCATGCATGTGTCCTCTGTGTCTGAATCCATAGGTAGGAAAGCACAAGCACACAGCCTGCCTCTAGGTGCTCAGAGACTTTGTATATCTGCTTTTGCTTACTTTGTTTACCACTGCAGGCTGCTGCGAGGCCTTGTATTAGTCCGTTTCTGTCACTTATAACAAAATACCTGGAACTGGGTAATTTGTAAGAAAATGAAATTTATTGCTTACAGTTTCTGGGAAGTCCAAAGTCCAGGGAACACATCTTGTGAAGGCCTTCCTTGGTGGTAGCTTCAGCGACACAGGGTATATCACATTGTGAGATGGTGGAAGCAGAGAGAGAGAGACATTCCCACGTGCTTTCCTTTTAAAGCCCTCAGAATCATACCCATGACCATCATTATTAATTCATTCACTATGGCATGGTTCTCACAATATAATCACCTCTTCAAGGCCCCACCTTTCAATTACCGTAATAGGATTTCCCATCCTCAACAGTTACAGTGGGGATTAAGCTTCAATGACTTTGGGGGGCCATTCAATCCACTGCAGACCTGGACTCTTATAACAGGTTCTTACTGAGTGCCTGCTACATGCCAGACCCTACCTGTTCTCTTAGACCTTGTGTTCCAGTAGGATAGATGAGCTGGGGGTTTAGATGGCCAGTCCCAGAGTCCTGTTAGAACAATCCTGTTGGCTGCAGTTTTTGTTTTTTTTTTAAAGATGACCGATAAGGGGATCTTAACCCTTGACTTGGTGTTGTCAGCACCACGCTCAGCCAGTGAGCGAACCGGCCATCTGTATATGGGATCCGAACCCGGGGCCTTGGTGTTATCAGCACCGCACTCTCCCGAGTGAGCCACGGGCCGGCCCAGGCTGCAGTTTTCTAATAGCATTACCGCCACTACCACTACCACCACCACCACTGCCCCCATTATAAAAGTAAAAACATACTCATTGAGAATTTGGGAAATAAGGAGTTACTGCAGAGATGATTATTGTTGACATGTGTATTTCCTTCCGGTCCCTTTCCTGTAGTGGTGGTAGGATTGGGAGTGGGGGATGGGGTGCATGCCAAATCATGTGATTGCACTATACATAGAGTTTTGTATTACTTTTTAGATGTAACATATGAACGTTTTTTACTCTCCAGAAACATTATGTTAATGCCTCTATCATATTCAAGCTATGGAAGTGCCAGCCCCCTGGAGGAGTCATTTTGATAGTTCTAATATTATACCATTTGTCATGATAAGTAGCAACATCACAGTGGGAGAGAGAGAGAACATCCCTCTACATAAATCTGTGGTGACATCTCTGACTGGCTCCTTGCATTCTGAGAAATAAGGCTATATGGTCAAGGCCAGTAGTCTTTTATTTATACTTTTGGGTTTTGTCTGGGTTTTTGCTTGCTTTCTTCCTTGTCTTTCAGACTTTCACTGGACCCATGACTGCAAAAGACTGAGACAAGTAGTTTATTCTGTAGAGATTAGGGCTTCGTTGGGGAGTGGTGCTGTGACAGCAGTGGGCTCCAGACCCCTGAAGCAGAGCTGTCTCTGATGCTTGAGGGCATGTTATTCTGGGCTGCCACTGTGGTCCCAAGTAACCAGGTCATTTCTGCCTTCAGCCCAGCCCCTGTGGAAATGCTGAACCTGAAGCTCCGCCGGCCATCCTTCAGCAATGATATTGACCTCTATGCTACCTTTGATGTGGATACCCCCCCAGCTCGGCATTCCAGCTCCCAGTATGGCCATTCCAAGAAGCTCTGCCTGGAGAAAGCCCAGTGAGTGGTAGTTCTTGGCACTGTCCACAGCCTGGAGTGGGAATGGCTATCTCTGCAGGCCCTGCCCTGATAGCTGTAAGTGGCTGAGTGGGCATTGAGGGCTGCCTGGGCTTGGCTGTGGCTGTGGTTCCAGTCCCCTCTTCTTCCCTGTCCTAAGCACTAAATCTGTGCAAACCCCTTTGTTTGCTTGTCTCATTAATCCTCACCATTACCCTTCAAGGCAAAGGTGTTGGGATGTGATTTAGGGAGAATGCAGAGATCCCAGTAGAGGCAGATCTGAGCTGGTAGTGTTGGGGAGGGTGCTCCCAATACCTTGAATGCCTGCCCACCAGAGTCCTGAACCAGGGAATGGAACTTCCTCATCCACTGTGTGCCTCTGAGGCTCATGTGCGAGGCAGGACCATCTCAAATCATGGGACCAAGGCCCTGCCACCCAAGTGGGTAGCCCACAGGGGCAAGCATAAGGAGTTTGGAGCTACAATGGGGTGGGTCAGACTTGTAGTAGGGGTGCAGTGGGACAAGAGAAGGGAGGTTGTCTCCTTGGCTAGGCACACCAAGTGTGGTTCATCATGGAGACAAGGACTATACCCATTCATACCTGTTGGTATATACTGCTCAGGTAGGGGCAGTCAGGGGCTAAGCAAGTTTCCTCTTAAAGACTTTGGGCATGAGAGAAAGAAATTGAGATGTTAAGCAGTAAACGTGGAAGGGGCCTAAGAAGAGGGCAAACCAGCTGGGCTATTCACCCCTCCCTAACCTCAGTGGCATAGGCACTCATGCTGTAAATGACCAGGTCTGGTAGCAATAGAAAGAAACCTAGGGCATGTGGGCTGCAGTCAGGGAGCCTATTAGTGCCTGCTTCATACTCTGGCTTCCTCCTGTTGCCTTCTCTTCAGCATAAAGGTTGAAGATGGGCATCTGGGATCTTTAGGCTACAAGGTCTTTTAGAGACATTTCCATCATCTTCAAGGCCTGTGGGGGGAGTGAGGGAGCCCCTAGATTATTAGCTCAGTCTCCCCAGAGCCAGACTGGCAGCAAGCTGAGTCTTCCCATGTGGCCTCACCCCAGGCAGGAGTGGAGGAGTCCATAGTAGGCAGGCCCCGATCCTGCCCCTGTTCTCATGGCTTGAGAAGACACAGGGTCAGCCTTAGGTCACCATCCTCTCATCTCTCTGGGAAAACACCAGGAGAGGGTATCCAGCTGCTTGGGTACCCAGGAATTTGATGGAGAAACAGTATTGAGCTCTAGGGCTGGGAGTGGGAGGCCTGGGCCTAGGGCCATGTTCTATCCTGCCCCAGACTCTTCCTGCACAGATTCTTTAGGGAGATGGCCTGGCCCTGTGTTCTGAGAGTATTTTATGAGCTACTTTACTAAGGATCTTACTGAAAAGCTAACTTACTGAGGGTGTTTTGGAGGTAGTGACCCCTCTCTGGGCCAACAGGACTAGGCCTAAGCTCATTAGATGCCTTCTGCTTGTATCAGCACATGACTGGCTTTCCTCCTGTGGGTGGTGAATCAGTTGAGCTTCCTAGCCCCATGTAGAGCCTGGGACATGGTGAGCTGCCTAGGGACTTGGGGAAGCACTGGAATTTAGCCTTGAGTGGATTCTATAAGGTTGGGATGTGGTCCAGTCTTCCCTGTGTCTACCACCCTGTTGGCTGTGGCTGTCCAGCTGTTCACAGATCTACACTTGGGGTGGGGATCACTGAGCCACCTTGCCCAGAACACAGCCATGACAGTATCCATGCCATGTAGTGGTTCCCAAGGGTCATGTGCTGAGCCTGGCTCACCTGCCCCTCATGTCTTTCTTACTTGCCTCTTCTTGTAGCTCTCCCATTCGGGACATCCCCAAGAAGATGCCCAGAGGCCCCAGAAAGGTAAGGCTTTACAAAGGTCAGGTAGTCACTACCCAGCCCTTGCCAGGACTGAGCATAAAGCTGGACTTCTGGGAGGGTAGGGTCTTGCCAGAGCCCTCTCACTCCTGGCCCAGGACTGAGGTGCTTTGAAGCCAACCTTGGGACCCTATTCATTTTTCTTCCTGCCTCTTGGTGAAGCATCAGAGATCTTGATCTTGTCCCACCACCACTACTCTCCCTCCTTTGCTGCCATCTGGCTCATCAGTCTGGCTCTGGGTCTCCTCTGCAGGAGTCTCACCTATCACTGGGTGGCCAGCGCTGTGCAGGAGAGTCAGACGAAGAACTGGATGGTGCCTTCCCTGTCTTCTTCCGGAATGCCATCCTGGGCCGGAAACATCCCAGGATGGCCAGGGCAGAGTCTTGTCACAGCACAGATGTGGTGAGTATGGCATCCCAGAAGTGGCAGTTACCAGTCCTTTCAGGGGTGGGTTTGGCTGGCCAGCCCTTTAGCCCATTAGCCTAGCCTGCTTATCTCTTCCTTCTGCCCTAGGTAAGGACAGGCTTTGATGGGCTCGGAGGCCGGACAAAATTTATCCAACCTGTATCCTTGTTATGTGGTGGTGGGCTGAGCTGAGCTGTGGAGCCCATATCATGCCCCACCAGAACCCAGTCTGCCAGTGCCTGCAGCCTCAGGTGTGCAGAGCTAGACTTTGCTCAGTGTAGCAGGGTTGTCCACCCCCAGGTCTGAGCCTTTCCTGCCCTGCATTCCAGTGACCTCTCCAGACGTTTTCCTTGACATCTCCTGCAGACTGACACGGCCATGATCCGCCCACTGCCTGTTAAGCCTAAGGCCAAGGCTAAGCAGAGAGTGGGGGTGAGAACAGTGCACCCTCCCTCCCAGGCCAAGCTGGACACCTTCCTGTGCTAGTGAGAACAGTGAGTCTGAGTAGTGGCCAGATACATGCCTACTTGTAGGCCAAGAACTGTCCAGGCATGGGGTTTTTGGGAGATAGCCCCTCTTCCAGAACCAGCCCTGAGAGCAAGGGCAGACAAGCAGGTGTGAGTGAGAGTGTTGCCCAGAGACTGCTCTTCCTGAACTCACCCTGCCCCATTCCTGCCACATTCCTGCCACATTGGGTCTAACTTTGGGAGCTCCATGACCAGCTCATCATTCCTGTCAACAGGGCCTGTTCATTGTCCCAGGCACCTATTTATGGCCATGATCAGATGTGGCCGGGCTCCTTCTGGTCCTGGAGACCAGGGTTACTTGTTGACTATATGAACAAAGTGCTTGAGGCTTCTCAGGAAGCCTTCACCTGAGCTACTACCTGCCTCTGGCTTGCTGCTAGTCATGGCCTGGGCCAAGCAGAGTGGGGAATGGTGGTGGAGAGTGAACGCGAGAAGATTTGTAAAATAAAGAAATAATAAAATAAATAATTTAAATAATAATAAATAATAAAATAATAAAAAATATAGAATCTCTTCTTCCTGGCTCTGGGAGTGTAAATTTGCACCAACACTTTGGAAAACTGGCATGACTTTCTAATGCAAGAAAATCACCTAGACTCAGACCGAGCAGTTCCATCCTAGGTATGTGCCCTCTCATAGGGCACAGAGAGACTCCAGCAAGAATGAGATTTCTGCAGCTTTGTCCAGTCTCTAACTTGGACACAGCCCAAAAGCCATAAGCAGGAAAGTGAATGGGTAAACCAAGATCTGTCTATACAGGGAACTGACAGCAAGCACAACAAATAACCAGTGACCACTCCCCCACTTCCTCCCAACCTCTGAACTCTGCCAGCCAAATTGCTTGCCTTTGGGTCTTGGCTCCAAGGGCACTTTCTCCTAGAGTACTTTCCTTCCTGACCCCTAGCCTGAGTGGAGCTCCCTAAACTTTCCTCTCCCACTATTGGATGGGAGTTTACCTGTTTCCCCTGGGCCAAGCATGGGCCTGGCACTTAAGTGAGAGGCATAGGGATTGAGTGCTTCAGGCTGAGGGTGCTCCACTCCTCTCCAGCAAATCTGAATTAGCACAGGGCTTCATGGGAAGGGTGTGATACTCTTGGTTATGGGTGTTGGACCCTCTGGGGCTGACTTGAACCAAGGAGGTTTAGTAAGGGGAAATGCAGCATCAGGTTAAGGGTGTATGGGGCTGGTTGCTCCTCCTTACCAGTCATCTTAGGTAAATTATTTAGCCTTTCTTACCTCAGCTGCTTTTATCTGTAAAGTGGGGACAATAGCACTGACCTCCTAGTTGTGGGGTCTAATGACTCAGCTTATAGGTTAACAACAGTCTAGTGAAATAAGCCAGACAGAAAGGACAACTATTGTATGATGCTACTTATATGAGGTACCTAGAATGGGCAAGTTCATAGAGACAAGTAGAATAGAGGTTACCAAGGGCTACAGGGAGGGGGAAATGGGGAGTTATTGCTTAATGGTCATATAGTTTCTCTTTAGGGTGATGAAAAACTTTTGGAAATAGATAGGGGTGATGATTACCAAAAAAAGAACTTATAGACTTAAATACATTGGAAGACATCCTGTGATTATGAATTAGGAGACTTATTATTGTTAAGATGACAACACTCCCCAAAGCAATTCTATAAATTCAGTACAATCCCTATCGAAATTCCAATGGTTTTTTTTTTTTCCCAGAAATGGAAAAACTGATCCTCAAGTTCATATGGAATTACAAGAGACCCTGAATAACGAAAACAATTTTTTTAAAAAATGAAAGAGAAAGTTCTTCCCAAGTTAAAAACTTACTACAAAAAGAAATGGAAAAACTGATCCTCAAGTTCATATGGAATTACAAGAGACCCTGAATAACAAAAACAATTTTTTTAAAAAATGAAAGAGAAAGTTCTTCCCAAGTTAAAAACTTACTACAAAACTATAGTAATCAAAATAGTATGGTGTGAAGTCATGCATAATGGTGGAGTCACAAGCTCTAGGGGTCAGTCCCTCAATCAAAGCAATAATTGAGCTGGAAAGAGCAGTGATTATAATGAGATATTTCAGAATTCTGGAACCTGATCAGACATTGAATAACAAGCAGGGGTGCTGGTTAAAGGGAGAGGCTGCTATTTGGTGAGAGAGTAGTATGAGTCAAGCAGTTCCACCTCACCCACCCCCATTCCTCAGTCCCACCACGGTTGTGGGGATAGCCCCAGTTCTAGAAGCAACTGACTGGTGCCAGGGCAGGTAGTGGGGATCTTGCCCTCCAGAAATTTGGGATTGCACTTTGGTGGGTCTGGAAGTACCCTAAGATGCTTGCTTTGGCTTCAGCCCTTTTGGATGCAATTACTGCCCCTACCCCCACCCCCACAGTGGCAGCATTTATCAGAAGATTTAAAGGGCTGATGCGTCTTAAATTTTTTTAGACAGAAGGTCTTTGTCAAGTCACAAGCTGACTGCAGAGATAACAGAAACTTCAATGACCACACAAAACAAGGAACACACACTTTGCAAAAATAGTTTGGAAAAATCACATTATGGATAGCCATAGCCCTCAACAAGCAAGATTTAGCAATCCCTGAGAAGTGGGAGAATAAGATTTCCAGAGTTACTGCAATATAATACTCAGAATACTCAGTTCTTAACAAAAAATTGTAAAGCATATGAAGAAATAAGAAAGTGGCCCATTCACAGGAAAGAAAAATTGACAGAAACTATCCCTCCATCCTTGTACCGGCCAGCTGCTGAAAAAAAAGAAAGAAAGAAAGAAACTATCCCTGACAAACTCTAAAGCTGAAAAGTACAAAACCTGAAATGGAAAATTCATTAGAGTCACAAAAAGCAAATTGCTTTCTTATATACCAGCAACGAACAACTGGAATTTGAAATTAAAAACAATACCATTTACATTAGCACCAAAAAAAGGAAAGAAAAGAAATATTTAGGTATAAGTCTAACAAAAGTATAAGATCTATGTGAGAAAAACACTAAAGTGCAGATTAAAAAATCAAAGATCTAGATAAATGGGGAGATGTCTCATCTACACGTATAAGATGATATTGTCAAGATGTCAGTTCTTCCCAACTTCATTTATAGATTAAACACTATCAGTAAAAAGTTATTTTGTGGATATGAACAAACTGATTCTAAAGTTTATACAGAAAAGTAAAAGGCCAAGAATAGCCAACACAAGATGGAAGAACAAAGTCAAAGGACTGGCACTACCCAACTTCAAGGCTTACTATAAAGCTACAGTTTGGTTGACAAAAATAGACAAGTAGATCAATGGAACAGAATAGAGCCCAGAAATAGACTCACACAAATACAGTCAACTGATCTTTGACAAAGAAGCAAGGGCAATTCAATGGATGAAAGATAGTCTTTTCAACAAATGGTGCTGGAAAATTGGACATCGACATAGAAAAAAAAAAAAAATCCAGGCATATCTTAAACCTTTCACAAAAAATTAACTCAAAATGGATCATAGACCTAAATGTAAAACACAACTATAAAACTCGTAGAAGAGGGGACTTCCAGTCAAGATGGCAGAATAGAAGGTCCCCAGAGTTACTCTTTCCCACAAATCAACCAATTTACAACTATAAAAAAGCAACGACAGCCAAGCTGGGGCTGTTAGAGCTCAGGAGAAGAGTAGGAGAGACCTAGAGAGTGTGTGAAGGTGGGAGAAGCCACGATGAGAGAAAGAAAAAACTGCTCAGACCATTTTGAGCCCCTGCTGCCTCCAGCCTGGAGCTGCTGAGTGCACAGAGCAGAAGCCAGCAAAATCTGCAGCTGTGCCATCTGGATGAAGTTGCATGGAGGCAGCAGAGAAGAGGGCCTTGGTGATCCCCAGGCCAGCAAGGCCACTAATAGTGTTCCCATGGACTCACATAGGAGTGAGGGGCCACAACAACTGAAGAAAAAGAGCTACTCAGAGGCTGGTGAGTAAGCGCAGGGGACCGGTGCACAGCCCATCGCATGGGAAGTGTCTGCAGCACGGATGGTGGGGGAGACGGGCCCACCAGGAGAACACGGGCACAGCAAGGACAGCTGATCTGCACCCCTATCAGCGAAGGACCACTCACAGGAGACTGGTCAGGAATATAGAATTGCATGGGGTGCAGTTTGATGAAAAGACTGAGGTCCAGACTAGAGTTTCGGATCTCTTGAGAGCCAGAAGTACCTATAAAGTCAACCATTAAAACGAGCTGCAAAAACCTTCCCTAGGGAATCAGCAGCAAAGCAGCGATCTAGCTCAACCACACAGCTCAAGTACTAGTCCCCACAGGAAATATCCCCATTTTAGAAGTAAGCAAAGGACAACAAATTAATTCCAGTACAGAGTTTAAATGGTGGGAACAGCAAATAATGCAACACAGAACTGAAAGAAAAAATAAAGTACCCACAACCAGAAACAGTTTCATATTAACTAGTAAAGGTCTCATTTCACCAAAGAACACCTATAACACATAGAAGGACTGGAAGTGCCCTGGGATAACAAGCCAGAAATGGGGGAGGGCTGGGGGCCTCAACGATGCCCCCCCAACACCCGCAACCAATCCCAAGGGTGGGGGATGAGGGTCTCGAACATGCCCCCCCATAGCCAGCCCAGTGGCAACCACCAAGCTGCAGCAAGAAGGGCCCTGCGTTCCCAAACTGGGACAGTGGGGGACAAGAGCTTTTTCACACCCCCCCTGACATCTGCACCCAGCCCAGCAATGACCAAGCCACTGCTGGAAGACCCCAGTCTCCCCTATGGGAATGAAGGTGGTGACACAGGCCTCAATCCCACCCCTCCTCCTACCGTCTTCTTCCATCCCATTTCCTTCCTCTTTCTGCTCTCCCCCTCCTTCCCTACTGCTCTGCAACAACATCCTAGAATGTAAAAAATAATGTGGGGTCAGCCCGGTGGCGCACTGCTACAGTGCGTCGCTTGGGAGCGCGGCGGCGCTCCTGCCGAGGGTTCGGATCCCACATACAGACCGGTTCCCGCTCACTGGCTGAGCGAGGTGTGGGCGCAGCACCAAGGCTTGCGATCCCGTTGCCAGTCCCGGTCCGGTGCGGGCGCGACACTGAGGGTTGCGATCCGTGGCCGGACACGAAAAAAGACAAAAAGGGAAAAAAAAAAAATAATAATAATGTAATAAAGTTTCATTTTCTTTTTTTTTTTTTTTAAAGATGACCGGTAAGGGGATCTCAACCCTTGGCTTGGTGTTGTCAGCACCATGCTCAGCCAGTGAGCAAACCGGCCATCCCTATATGGGATCCGAACCCGCGGCCTTGGTGTTATCAGCACCGCACTCTACCGAGTGAGCCACGGGCCGGCCCCATTTTCTTTAAAAAGAAAAAAAAACTCCTAGAAGATAACAGAGGACAATGTAGGTGACCCTGGGTTTGGTGATGACTTTTTTTTTTTTAATTTTTCCTTTTTGTCTTTTTTCATGTCCGGCAACAGATCGCAACCCTCAGTGTCGCGCCCG